ACATTGTTGCTTTTCGAGTTACAAATAAAAAGACACAAGTATTGATATGTAATGAGAAATAAAATATACAAATATAAACATTGTATATAGTAGTCTATTTTAATTGCATATAAAAAATATTTATTCTATTTATGTTTCCTTATTTCATTTATTTTTAATAGTTTCATGCATTTGCACGGGCCACGATACTAGTTAATATAATTAAATAATATAAATTAATTATTCTTACGCATCACATTTACTTTAACCGACTATTCATCAACTCGCATAATCTTAATTAGCTATCACTTCATATCATCACATTTATCTTTTACTTACTTTTACGTTACATCAACTTTAATTATTTTATTTTTAATATTATTTTAATAAACATCAAAATCTTACTAACAACTAACTATCCATCTTTTTCAAAATTAATTTCGGTTAAACGAAAAAACTCATTTTGAGCGAATTTATTTTTAGGGGCATGCTTGTGTACCAAATAGTTTACTCACATTTAATTCATACTCAAAATTTAACTCAATCACACTATCATTCATATTGTTCATATAATTAAATAATACAAACAAATCATTCTTACGTGTCACATCAATTTTAATTCACTAATCATCCAATCACATAATTTTAAGTACCTATCATTTTCAATAATTTATATCTCACTTTTACATTTTTTTTTTTAAATAACCCCGATTAACCAAACTAACTAATTTTGAATGAATTATTTGATAAACAAGCATGCTTATTTGCTTTAAAGAGAAATTTTTAATAGCTAGGAGAAGTAGAATCTTCAATTTCATTATATACTATTGCCATATCAATATGGAATTGAGTGGAATCAGTAAAAAATAAAAATCAGAGAAAAAAAAAAGACCATTCAAAAATATTATAAAAGCAACTCAATAATCTATATATATATATAAAAAGAATTACCATTTTTTAAAAATAGTAAGTAGAAAATCTAACAACATTAATTTAATTGCATGCCATTTTTGAAAGTATTTTGAATTTTTTTAAACAACAAATTGACAAGCATTAAATGTAGCCTAAAATTAGGGATTTAGAAAACAAAAACGTAATTATAGCTTTCACACGTGTTTCTAAAATTATAGCATTGTGTTATTTGTCTTCTTTTTTTATACACGAGTAATATATCATTTTATAAAAAGAATAACCTTTTTATAAATTTAGAAACAAGATCATTAATTACATACTAAAAATACCATAATTAAAGAAGTTTTAACTAAATGCCCATTTGTTTGGAAAAAAAAAATCCCTATTTATATGAATTCTTTCAGATATTTTTGGTATATATATATTTAAAAAAAAAAAACGAGATGGGCTATTTGATTTCCAAAAAAATCAATAGCAATAATTTAGTAGTTATTAGTAAATATTTAGTGCGAATACTTTATATGCATACGTAATTTTTTATTAAAGTTAATGTGAAAACAATAATTGATCTAAATCAATTGATTAAATTTTCAAAAAATTTCAATCAATTATTTTGTTTCTACTTAATCTTTTTTATTTTTATTGATATGCTATCATAAAATTTGAAAAAAATATTGGCCAATAAGATTAAAAATTTGTAATTTAATTCTAGAAAATAGTTGATAAATTTGAACGATAAAGTAACCGACAACAACTTTAGAAAATTACGAGATTATATATATAATATATTCATACATCAAATATATAAGGGAATTTAGTGTGTAGTCCAAATTTGAGTTCCAAATTCATAAGTCAAATAAGTAATTATTCATAACTTACGAGTCAACATTAACTTTGACGACGTAAATGAAATAGTCAATTATTCATAGTTTAATAAATTACTCTAGTTTAATAAATTACTCAACCACTTCAATTTTTTGATTTGAATATTTCATATAAAAACAAAATCATATAATTAATGAAACATTATATGATTTATAAATATACTTATTATTCACATATATTTTTAAATAGACGAGAAAAATTTAAAACTTACCTATAAATTCGATTTTAAAAAATTCGATTGTGTTTTTTATTCCAAACAATCTGTTTGACGATAAATTTTCCTTAGAACTTGAATTAAAAATTTGAAATTCAAAATCCCTTCTCATTTTAGTTGCCGTAAAATGAGGTTTAATTCATAATCTCTTCCTAATATAAAGATTTTGTTCAAATTGAATTTCAAAAATATATAATCACATGCTTCTATCCATATCCTTAAATGAAGGATTTTGTGCCATTTTAAAATTAAAAAACCTATTGGAAATTATTTTTGGTTTCAATCTGCACGAAATTTAAAATGGTTTAAGAATTTCAAATCAATTGAATTTCATCTCTTTAATTTTTTTCCATAAGTTTCAAAATTTTACAATAAGTAAGACAAATTACAAATGTATTGAAAATCAAGAGGATAATTTTGAAAATGGACAATTTTTTTTTTCCAAAATTGTCTTAGTCTTCGTTCAATAAATCCACATAAAGCGTGGAATTTTATGTCTACAAAATTTCTTTTCACAGTAACTAAAAAATAATAATGTTTTTGAAGCTTTTGTGCTCAAATTACTTAAAAGAATAATAATAATAATTTTAAAAATTTTTGTACTCAAATTACTCAAAAGAATAATAATAATAATTTTGAAATCTTCTATACTCAAATTTTACGGTAGTATCGTCATTATTTTCAGCACCATGTCAATATTTATTTTATATATACTAGGTAATTTTTTTTTTTCAAAAACTTTATAATCTATTTATTTAGGCTTATAATATTTTTTTTCATGTCATATTCAGAAAACATCTTTCATACAAATGTAAACTTTAATATTTTTAGTTATATTTTCTTTACAAAATAGTTAAAAAAGTTGTAGGTGACTTCACATCTTTTAATAATAATATAGAAATTTTTAGATAATTTTACATATGTTAATACAATATTTTAGGAGTTTCTAGTTGTTTAAATATATAAATTTTATGTTCTCTTGAACAAGCTAATTTTATATAGTTTATAATAAACTGATATACGTAAATTATATGACATGTTAACCCCACATCGTTAATTTATAATTATTATTTAATATCGTTTACCATCATCTTTAATTTATAATATATTTTTTTGCTCTTTTAAGAGAAGATCAATAGTTGTTCCCCACTTCTTTTATTGGGCACGATACTTATTTATAATTATTACTCCCTCCTATTTTTTTTATAAATGTCATTATAGCTTTATCAACTATTTGCTAAATAAATGTCGTTTTGGATCTTTTGTACATATTTTTTCATTATACCCTCGTTTAGCCAATAAATATATTACGTCTTTTCATACTCACTCTTCACTTTTTCTCAAAACATTCATCTCTATCTTCATTAAATAAGGTTATTATTAACAAAAAAAATATTCTTAATTAGTGTGCAACTTCTCAAAATGACAAATATTAAAAATAGGAGGTAGTATTTAATACTATTGTTTATTCGTGCATCGCACGGGATACACACTAGTTTCATAATAAGTACACATAATAAATTATTTATAATTTCCAAATATATACATTTACGAAATTAATATTTCTTATCAAAATACAGAAATCAAAGGGTAAATGCACACCTACCTCGGTAACATCAAATGTGGCAATTCAATTTTCTATTTAATTTCTCATTC